GCCGAAAGTGAAGAAGTGCGGAATCTGCAGAAATGCCGAAAGTGCGGAAAATCGATACGTATGAATTGCTTTTCGTCATTTCTGCAGATTCCGCATGTCTGCACATTCCGCACTTCTTCACTTCGGCATTTCTGCATTTCTTCAGATCGATACGTATGTAATGCTTTTCGTCATTTCTGCAGATTCCGCACTTCTTCATTTCTGCATTTCTTCATGGTCGCAAGCTATAAACGCGGCCTAAGACTCGCACTTAACTTGAAATAGCTATGACAATGGACTCATCAGTATACCAGAAGTACTTAGCAGCTGAAGAGAGCATGACAAGCGGATTGTCCAAATCGAAGAGATTACAATGAATGCCTTTTTAGAGAACTATATTATTTCCCAAGGAAAGGACTGTGCAGTTACTATGCCAAGCAAATGAATATAAAGAAAATTCGTTCATTGCGCACTGCAGGCATCTCGCAACCACAACTAGAAGGCATTTCTATACGCGTAGTAAATTTCAGTTGTATATTAGGCAAATAAACAGGTACAGACTTACGCGCGTGTTCTGTTCCGAAACAGCACTCCCACCGCTCCATCTCTCTCTCTCTCTCTCTCTCTCTCTCTCTCTCTCTCTCTCTCTCTCCTTCTCTCTCTCCCCACCGCCCCAGAACGCAAAATACTTATTCATAAGTCGCTGTCAATTTGTGACTGTCAGTTTCAATCATGTTGTCTTCTTGAACAATGGTTAATGATAACTCGATGCACAATTTTAATCGGTTAGCTTTTGCTGTGCAACAGCCTTCAGACCTACAATAAAATCGCGCATACAGTACGACAGCTCTTTACAACAACCAAGTCTACCGGAGCACTAACCAGACTGAACTCCTTCTTGACAATAAAGTCGCTTAGGTCTGCAATACAATGCTTTTAAGGCCTCAACTGGTAATAAGAGCACCACCTGTAGACGTTAAATGCATTTTATTGCAGATCAAACAGACTTTATTCAAGAATGAGTTCAGTCGGGTTAGTACGTACTCCAACTGTTGAAAAAGAAGTCGTTATAACACATGAGGCTCAGCTGTAGCTCGACTGTTTCATACTTTCAATTATACACAATGAAAGTTCTAAAAATGTGTAAATAGGAAAAGTCCAAGAAGTCCAGAAGAAAAAAGAGGAAAAAGAAAAAAAGGAAAGTGTGAAAGAGCAAGTATTCTGATGGGACGAAAAAGGAAGTAGGCGAGAAAACGAACCTTGTATGATTTGATCAGAGCCTTGTAGGTTAAAAACGATAAGCAGCTTCGTTTGGACCTGAAAGTACCAAGAAAATAGCTTTATTTCCACAGAAATTCTTGGCATACGTTGCTCTAGAGCGTTCTCATATCTCAAAGGAATAGCAAAGTCCTGCTCATAGTCACAGGAGAAGTGCATAGATTTTCCATACAAATATTAAAAAAATATGGCTGAAAAGAAATATATACCAAAGAGCGGCACTGCGATTCTAGTACGCTTTTGTTAGGCCTTGGTGGCAATGGAACGTCCCCCATCGCAAAGGGAAATGGTCACGGTAGGAAAGCGAGCATGACGTCAAGAAAAGTCATCGAATTAATCACAACGGAAATGCAGATACGGTGACGCTGAATATCGTTCACCGCTTTCTTCACATTTTGGAGAAAATTTCGCTCTTATTCGCTTTTGACAAGGATCTCTGACGCTGTTTATCTCGGAGAGGGTGAGGAGGATGAGGCTCCAAATAGTTCCACAGCTTGTGAAGGCCTTTTTTAAAGAACTGTAAAGTCGTGCGATCAAATTGTCTCACACGGTCACACACTTATCACTGCTGCTTCATAGAAGTTCACAGCCATCACCATTGTGAGACCCTGTTTTTTATGACATGAACTAAGAATGGACAATGGGAACTAGCGAAAAAGCGCAATGTCCCCCGCCCCCCCCAAGTCAAACATCGCCGGATTTTTCTTTGCTCGCCAGAGTTAACATGCCTGGTAATGCATGGGTCTGGACGGGGGTACACTGCCTGTAACATGCATCATGGAACGAAAAACAAATAAATTGACTGTTGATCCTATTATGTATAATAAGCTCATATCAAAACATCAAGAGTACACAGTACCTTCAGCCGTCCAGAAAAAGTGCCGAACTTCTTCTTAGGATTGTCCACTTTTCCCTTTTCCGGTTTTTTTTTCAGCAGTTTCTCACCAGAAAAAAGCTGCCGCCGAGGGAAGGGGAGGGAGAGGAGGGGGAGGAGAGCGCAGAAACTGGGAAAAACCTGGAAAAATCACCAAGAAAACCTTCTCAAGAGAAAATGCGAACCCGCCTCCCTCTCGTGGCCAGATACGACCCCTTCGCTGAAAACAGTGTACAATATAATATACCTATTCGTTCGATTATTCCTGTTGCCATTACAAGGCTGGAGAGACTAATTAGCAAAAACCAGGTTCGTGCTGTAATTCTTAACTCAAACAGAAGGAATAACAAATCCTCTCCTGTAAGACGCCAGAAGACGCTTAGCATTCCTTCCGCATAATGCTCGTCCCTCAAAATATTACAAACCAAAACAGCAAACACCACAAATTAAGGGAAATTTGGAAACTCAGAAGTTGACTTGCGCCAGGCAACGTGTCAACGGCAGTATATTTTTAAGCGGATTAGAAACTCATTGTTAGGTGGCCATTTGAATTACGAACCCTAAAAAGTAAGTCAGAAATTACATGAAAGAAGCTGACTCACTTCTTCGGGGATGAAGCTGATGATATGCTCCGGATAAGCGACGAGAGCTTTTCGCATGCTTTTCTCTTCATTTCACGAATCATTTCCAGAGGCATTTCGGCCAACTCGGTGGAGTCAGACATTTCCGAGCTCATCTTCGACGCAAGGCGATGTGAACGCCGTAGAGCACTTGTCTCACCACAACCCTAACGAATAATCACTGATAATGCAAATTAATCAACAGTTGTGCAAACAGGAAGTAGAGAGCCAAGAAGCAGGTTTGGATTCAAAGTGAACTTCAAATTTTTAAAGGACCACGAAGGATTAAGCTTATGTGGACCTGCAAAGAAAGCTATTTAGCGTACGGTAACTTTAGCACCGCCCCGCCCGAGCACCAGCCGGTCAGTCGATAGTGGTAATCGATAACGGGTGGTGTCTCGTGCGTTTGATATTTAAGCAAATATGGAGGGTGCGGTTTCCTATTCGGGTCTATTCGCATTCGTTGCTCAGATGCATGTCACCCGGGATGGATCAGTTTCGACCGATTGGATATTCCAATTGTCAATCGGTTGTGTACTCTTGTTGGTCTTTCAGACCTTAGTGACAGCTGCCAGCATTCCATTCCTTCCCACGGTTATCCCAATGCGCACCAGCCATATTCCAGCTCTGTTTAGTTTTGCTTACAATTCTGTGTAGAAATCGATAGTGTATCTAATGGATAGCATTCTGTTAGCCCACTGTTTCGATTTATTTAACGGTCAGTTGCAGTGTGAAAACGGTTAGTTGTTGTGCTCGTGAATTTCAGATATTATCAACGGTTCTGTGATTAGTTTGCGCTGTGAAAGATGATCGTGTCCAGTAGCGATGAGCATCGATAAGCGATGGGTAAGTTTGTTTCTGATAAACACTACTTACTAAAATAGTTTTTATTGCCAGGATTTTCAATGGCTGATCTCATTATACTGTTTCAGTGTCCGCTTTGTATGGAACAACTCGAAATCGATGACTTAGATTTCTACCCCTGTAAATGTGAATATCAGGTTCGTATGTGCTGTTTTCAGTTTAAAAAGCTGTGTTTTATTAACGACTAATCGATATTTCGGCATGGGCGTTCGGTGCACATGACGTCCTCCAAATGCGTGGGCACGCTGTATATAGTTTGGAAGGCCCCACTCCAGAAGTCTTTGGTTTACGTCCGAAAAAGTCAACGATTGATGTGAGGGGTTTTCTGGTAGCTGTTGACAGTATGCAGTCACCCATGTATTTCTGAGGCGCTGGGTTATCTCCCACCGAAAAGGTTTACGAAGTAACATCGTTTTTCCGAAAACACTTTCGAAAATATCACCGACTGTTCTTAGTTAGTGTATGTATAAGTAGATTGGAATCATTAGAGTGGCCTTCAAACTCACACACTATTGCCTGCGTTCCTGAGGGAGGTATCCACAAGGGTCGATGTAATAAAGATCGGGGTGGAACCACTTAGGGAGCACCTGGATGACTGCTTGCGCAAACAGTCGGATGGATGGGATGTAAATATCCGAGTTGGGTGGCACAACTTAATCGTGCAAGGAGTGAGTTTTCATTGCAGTTATATCTGTAAACCGCGAAACCTTCCCTCTGTTTCTTTTTTTGGTTGCGTTTCCTTCTTTTCCTGTCCTTCCTTCTTTCATCTCTCTTTCTTTAAACTATTTCCTGTTCGACCAGGATGGGAGAATACCTGTAGACCCTCGCAGTTAGGGAACATCTATTTGAGCATCATTCATCCATCCATTCACAACTAACTGTCGCTCTTGTGCGGACACTGCCGCTCATAAGGTGGAACCGTCGGCTGATGAAGACGGTTCAGTCGAAACGTAGGCATGTTGATAAATGTTTTCACTCTATCATCTCGTAACGTACAAAACAAGTAGAGTTGAGAACTTCCTGATTTGAGGGTTTGACAAAAGCCCTGATACTCCAGTTTTACACAGTCTTATTAATCGCCCCCCTCCTCCGCCGACTTGCCCTTTATTGTGGAGATATTGTCACAGAAGTGTGGAAAGTCATAGAATCTTTGAATACTCAAATGATTTCCTGGCGGCATTTCTGCGAAATATTCCCGAACCGCTACTCCATCAGAAACTTGTTCTAACTTCGCTTCTACCAACTCGTCGTGTTGTCTTGGGTTTTTTTTAGTTAGCCATAGGCAACAATAATTTAAATTCGCTTGGTTTTTTTTTATTTATGAGAGGGTTCGGGAGTCCTTCAGCTTCTCTTCTTGCGTTTTGGTACGTTGTTGTAAGCGTCATTTACCTGTGTTTTGTGCATGTTATGACGTCGGGTTGCTTTGAAATGAACTTGTGTTCAATATGGTCTAATGTTTCAATATCTCGTCGTTCTTCAAGGCTTGCACATAGCTTCTATAGTGTGTCAGATTTATGAAGTACCTTCCTCATCCCCCGCAGAAACTTTTTTAGAGAGTCAAACCATTGTATTGTAAACCCTTCGGGTAGGCGGCAATACCGGAAAACAAATTCACCTAAGGTTTCAGTGTTCATGTGGAAAGCGCGCTGTTGTACGGCTGAATAAATTGACGAGCCAAACTTATAATGCCACAAACAAGCTAAAACACACACTAAGATGTTAAGACTTTTATTTTCCTATCTTCTCTAAAAGTCATTTCATCTATGTTGTGTACTGGGCGATAATGTGGGGAGGGGGTCGCCAGCGCCTCCGAAATTTTTATCGAGGCTTGAGCTCAGAGGGACTATGTGTTCTCTGTGGACCATCTTACGGTGAAGCTGGTCTCCTGCACATTGAGCCCAAGCCTTGAGGGTTACTGTTTTAAAGAGGCGGTCGTTTGGCGCGCCCATAAATGCCGTGATGTTGTGACTTTAAAAGTAATAGGTAATGTTTCAGTCAACAATTTTTGAGTAACTCGTCCGAATCACTAACCTATAAATTCGGAATATACAGGCTTTATGGCAGGCTATAAGCGTGAACTTCGGTACTGTGTCTCAGTCAGTTTCCCAATGACCACTTATTATTAGGGAACTGCAGTAGTTCTAATATTCGGACGAGCTGCCTTAACTGAATGTGCTTATGACCTGTCAGATGCTTGCACACGTCCGGTAACGGGCGTCAGTACTGACGCAGTGTAGGTGTATGAAATCCCTTGATGCCGTAGAATGATCTTCAACTGATAGAGCATTATTCTTCGTATGTCGTTTTTATGCCCGTCAGGTGATATTTCTATCATCACCATAGCATTATGCGAAGTGTTATATTAACGACATCTAATAGAACGGCGCTCCGCCCATGCAGTGACGGAAGGCGTCTTTAAGGACAACAACATGGTCGAAGCGCCAGATCTTCGAGAGAAAGTCCAGCTGATAACTTTGGTGGCACAGAAAGCATGAGAATTTTGTAACAGTGCCTAGGTTCAAAGTTTGACTTTATGTGAAATGTTTTGCGTGCCTCTTTCAGCTTTCGGTCCTCCTTTGAACCTTATCTCTAAGACATATAGCGTGCATGTTTTGTTTTCAGATTTGTAGGTTTTGCTGGCATCGTCTGCTTACGGATGAAAACGGTCTCTGTCCTGCTTGTCGGCAACCGTATCCGGAGGATCCTGTTACATTCAAGGTTTACTACCTTTTGATTTCTTTCATCACTCTGAATTCTACAAAGGAAGGCGTTTTTGCAAAAACATCATTGGAATACATGTTGGGTATGGCTACCGTACAGCGTCTTTTTTATGGTGACAGTTTCCGCACGCCTTACAAACTCTTGCCAGTGCTATTGATCTGGGGGTGTTGTTGACGTGGCATGATCGATGCGAAGCGAATTGCGCACAGCTTACAATTGCATCGATGAATCAGGCTGTTTTGCGGGGAATAGCTTGATGTGGACGCATGTTGCGCAAATTTCTATGTACTGTAGTTAGATAAGGACCCTTACGGGTGGTGGTTATAAAGAGTAGTTTTCGCCGTTGATCATCCCTTTTTGGGTTCTGGCATGCATCCTACTTCCTCTCAGAATCGCAGTGACTTATGGAATGCGATGTGGCTTTATATACTCTGGTTTGCTGCGGATGAAGGGGCGTGTCAGACAGCATGAGTATGCCACGATGCTAACCCGTTCTCTATCAGTTGTTGAAGCGGGTGTGCGACAATGCTTGGTAGAAAACAAGTGAGACGAACGATATGATACAGTCTTTTCACGATGCTCTTTTCAAAATAAGAACGGTTTGGAACCATGCCAAATCATCCCTCCTAACGCCCCTTCTTTCGCAGAGAACTAGACCATACAATAAAGTGCCACGGTTCAGTTGGTGCACAAGGCATTGTTTTCATCATCCTAGACGACTGGTACGAGATCAACTTGGAGGATAGGAGGCTCGGTTGGCCTAGGCGGGAGCCGATCCGGGATTTGATCCCCAGGGCGTGCGCGTGGTGTGCCGCTTGCCACTAACCAACCTCCGCGTGATGGTTTCAGTTGTACATTTTTTTATGAGAGCAACCCTTGCATATTTCTATGTTAACTAAGCATGGAGGACATGGAATTGGTGGTGTGTCAGCTGTTCTTTTGTGCCACTCGCCACAGCCTATGAGGGCTCAGACATGGTTTTTCGATTGTTACATTTTGATTGACTAATGTTCATCGTGTTGAGTGGGGGAGGATTGTCTATGAACCTGCGTAGGATGACTTTACTGTGTGCTCTTGCGAAGAAGGATTTCATCAGTCCAAATTAAAAGTTGAAAATGGTAGGAAGAAGGCCGGTGTTTTGAGCATCTCATTTGCATCTGACTCTATCGAGGAAATATTTAAGAAGAATTGAAAGGGTCTGTTCGAGCTGTTCGACTTTGGAGGAGCATTTTGCATTCCCGCTAGTTTTAGTTCATGTTGAATTACACATCTCACCTTGGCAAGACCTGTAGACTCTTGTCACGTGTAGGCGAAGTTCATGCTATTGATCGCTATAGGAATCCACTGGTCACCACAGGAGGCTTCGGCAGTAGTCGTTATGCCCCCACTAAGGGAACTGGGTCGAATGAAACATACATGATCCCTTTAGTGTAACCTGAATGTCAGGATCATCATGTATGATAATTCCAGCCATTGTCGTGCGCGGATGTTCAACGGATTAAGGATGAGAAGCGGTTAAAGCAGCAGGCTGAGAAGCTGCGAATTTCTGAATCACGGAATCATCTAGCTAATTACAGAGTTTTACAGAAGGTAAGCGAGGCTTTCTTCTGAAAACAATTACCGCTCGTCTGGACCCCAGCTTATTTTTTTCTCTTCTTCTAGAACTTGGTATATGTTGTGGGACTATCTCCGCGTGTGGCCGATCCAGACACGTTGCGGAAACCGGAGTATTTTGGGAGGTTTGGGAAGATTCTCAAGGTATGTTCTCTGTTTCAATGATGCTTTCAATGTTTTCTGGGCTTTGTGGTGTATCTGCGCCCTGACAAAGGTGCTATTGAGCGATTTCTGATCTGTGAGTCCTTCTTTCTAGGTTGTGGTTGGTACGGCGCCTACTGCTAACCACCCTCATGCACAACCTAGTCATACCGCTTATGTGACGTATAGCAAGGTCGAAGAAGCTTTGAGAGCTATACAGGTACGATTTCAACCTGCGTTAGTCAGTTCAGTTGTTGGCATAGTTCGACGACAGGAGAGGGCATTTTGCACTTTCGCTGCTTCTACTGTTCCAGTTTACGTTTACTGGTGAAACCTGTGAACTCTTATGAAGCTAGATCAAGCTCGTCGAGCCACCATCGTAAAACATATTAGCTTTTGTAACCTTAAGAAATGGCTCTGTAGAAGCATCGAAAAGTCAATGGGAAATAGTAGAAATGCAAAGTGCCCTCCTCCTCGCGTCACCGAACTGTCTTATAAGATCGCATTTGACAGTGTTTTGTTACGATATGATTGTTCAGGCTGTTTGTAATGCTCAACTAGATGGTCGAATAGTGAAGGCCTCGTTGGGTACAACGAAATATTGCTCTTCTTTTTTACGGAGTCAGAAATGCTTCAAACCGGTAACTTTTTTTTCCTCCTGCCTTTGCTACCGATTGGACAGTATGTAACCACTTACGTTTACCCCAAAATTTCGTACCTTGTATTTCTGCTGAGATAAACCGAATTGGTTATGAAGTGCCCTTATCCAAATACAACATTCGTTTTGGCGCAGGCTGCCATTTGGCGCATAATATGATGCCGTCGTCTCTTGCCAAGATTAATACAATCTGCATTCTGCAGTTATTTCCACGAGTATGACACTTTTTTTGGCGTCCCACTGCGAATGTGACACCTGTTGCGTCTTTTTCACTTTGGTGCCGGCAACAACCCCAAAGTTGGTCTAGTCTTCGCGGCTCGTAAGGGTTAGCCTGTCGAAAATTCAGCGATATCTTCTCCCTTGAGGCTCAGGCCGGCGGATGGGTAGCGGTACTATCAGAGGCTGAGCTTTGGCATCGCTTGATCGCTCTTAATGTTCATCGAGTTGTTCAAGGGGCACCAGCGACATCTTCTTTTGTCCCTACAACGTGCTGAAGTCAATAGAGCCTTAAAGTTAGTAAGTGCGAAGCGGCGTAGGCGCCGAACAGTATTGAGCCTCTGCGATAAGGGCCTCGCATCATCTTCAAATGCAAGCTTGGACGAATTCCGTGGAAAAGAGCGCTGGACCGGCTTTCGCTCTAGCCTATGGCGCCAGGGTCTGTAGTAAATGCCACATTTGTATTGAGAATGCCAAGAAATTCTGTTCATTTCGACTTCTGGTGTAAAGCGGAGGTGGCATTGAATGGCGCCGCCTCCAAAAACGAATGTAGTTCAGTGATCGGGTTCCAAATGTCTGAAGTTCCACCAAGAATGAGGTGTTTTGATTGATATTGGTGTAGTAGTACTGTTTGAAGTGTCCCATAGATTGTCTTCATTTTCATCAGTGACCATTGATGTTGTTCCCTTGCTTCATGATTTTTTTCAATTTCAGGAATGTATGTACTTACATGAAATAGCTGATAGTGACATCAGTTTCACAAAAGAGGATATGCACATGGGCAAGCACGCTGAATACGAGAGGAGGTATGTTATACATTCTGTCAGTTTCATTTCAAAAAGAAATCAATGCTGTAGCGTCTTTGAGGGGGACGGGCGCTGATTAGAAGGATCTTAAAGCGATTCCGTTAAGCTCTATTATGGGGAAATTTAAGCCTTTGAAGTGAATTTCTGCCAAAGCTTTATTTCCTGAAGCTGTGTTAGGAAACCGTTCGTTGAAGAGTATCTGGCATAGGAACACGCTACCCAGTGTCTCTTGCCTCCCCCTTCCACCCTTCACCCGCTTACTTCCCTCTTCCATCTTCGATTTCATCTCACCAGCTTCTGGCTTCACTGATGTATTATCGTTGGAGCTGAGCTGTGACGCCTCCGTCCTTGCTTGATGTGCTCGTGTTGAGCGGTATGAAGGTTAAGGATAGAACCTTCATGTTAGATTTATCCCTGAACGGGAATATTGGGTACGACTGAGGATCTGTCAGTTGTAGTTGAGTGCCTCCGAACTGGCTGTATGTAAAGCAAGGTGTTGGGCAAGTTGATGAGTCATTCATATTTTGTTATCGTAATCGATTTCAGGTTGATAGATACGGTATTGAATCGATCATTAGCACAGCCGCAAGAGAAGCGAACCCAGTGGGTTTATTTTGCCTATTCACTTTCTGTTTCCATCGTATCATTTTGTATATGCTCATGCTTTTTGCTCATCTTGCTTGTTTTAGACCGTGGGGTTCGAATAAGAATAATATATGTTGGGAACAGAATGGCAGCGAAACGAGTGAAGAAGCTGATCATGGGCGAGACGGGGGATATAATGGTGGTGATGAGGTAAGTGTTTACAGTGTGTGGCATTTTGAATCATGGTCCGTTACGGCGTAGCGTCAGTATCGAAACAATGAAATAATCCCTGCTCAGCCTCTGAAAAGACCTATTCCCATTCGTCAGCTCGAGACTTGAGGGATGACTTAGATGAACGTCATTTGAGATAAGAGATTTGACGCTTCTGGTTCACTATATGACCTCTTCGTTAGAAGACATATGGCTTGGAAAACGTGCTACCCAATCCATACCTTCTCGGCCTTCCGCCGCACTTAACTCCCCTTTCTCTTCTACGAAAAAGGGAAGTCGGACATTGAAATGACTTCATCTGAGAAACGGTTTCTAAATGATCTTCCAATCAATACTTAGTGTTCTCCATGCGCGAGTATATTTTTTCAAAGTCTCCAACTGTGGTATAATTTCGCAGGTTCCCTGGGACCAGCTAATAAGCGATGCAGAACCTGTGCACCGTTGTTAGAGGAATCAACGAAGCGCTGTAAAAGATGAATGTGGTTAATGTGGATGTTTGTTTAATGGTATGGTTTCAGTCACCGTCCGGTGAT